AAGTATCTGGGTACTGGCTTGTTATTTCAAAAGCATGGACATTTGAAAGTTGAAGTTTATACAGATGCAGATTGGGCTAGATCCCAAAGTGACAGAAAGTCTACCAGTGGCTACTGCACCTTTATAGGAGGGAACCTTGTTACATGGAGGAGTAAAAAGCAAGGTGGCTAGATCCAGTGCTAAAGCTGAATATCGTGCTATAACTCACGGGGTTGCTGAAGGCATGTGGGTAAAGAATCTGTTGGGTGAGTTGGGTTTCCTAGTGGCCAAACCTATAACTCTATTCTGTGATAACAAAGCAGCTATAAGCATTGCTGCTAATCCGGTGCTACATGATAGAACAAAACACATCGAAGTTGACAAGCATTTTATTAGAGAGAAAGTTATCACAGGCGAAGTGTGTACTCCCTATGTCACTTCTGAGAACCAGCTTGCATGCATCTTTACAAAGGGTTTAAACCTTTCCAGACATCATGATCTTTGTGACAAGTTGGGCATGATTGATATCTATGCTCCAACTTGAGGGGGAGTGTTGACAGTTGTTTTGTGTACTCTTACACTCGCCCCCAGGATTCTGGAGGGTTTTCAGTCCACTCGACTCTCCTCTCTTCTCTCTTCTCCTCTCCTCTCTTCTCTTCTCTTGCTCAACAAAGACAAATTTGAAGAAATTTTTGAATTTCTTATTTTTCAATTTTAACTAAACTAGCAATTGACCACAAATTAGATGACCCCATATAGTTGGAACAACGCTTTGTTGAGTTTTTTTTTTTTATAAGTAAATGCATTTCCAATAAAAGGACAAAGCCAACAACCAAGCACCTTAATCAAATTTCCAATCTTTGTAGAGGTCTGTTTTGGAGATTGACCTGTAGAAAAAAGAGTCATTAGTGAAGAAATTGGACATAAAAGGTTACAACCACTGTTTTTTTGTGGAGGACTGTGTTGGGCCAAGCCAGGAGACAGTGTATAATAGTTGAGGCTCAAGCCTGATGTTTTTCTGCTGAGCCGAGCTCGAATAGCCAAATATCCGGCTTGGCTTGGCTCGAAGCCACCCATACTGGTTAGGGTGGGATAGGAGTTGTTTTCTATTAGGGGCTTGCCAAGGGGGATGTTTGTCACTGTTGTGGTCTGCATTGGGGATGGAAGTGGGTGTGTTGTCGGGTTAAATTGTTATGTATTTTAGTTTGACCTACTGTAAGATTGAGACTTTTTCTTTTTAGAAAGGAGAGGTGATTTTCTTTTATGTAGCTTGCATGTCTATCTTTGGTGGGGTCTGGCTTTATAAAAGTTGGTGTTCTATTGTTTTGTGTAGTGTGGTCTTGTAGCCCTGTTTTCTTTGGTAGTTTCATATCACCTCTTCTTTTACCCTTTTCTTCTTCTTTAATGAATTTTCTTTTATTATAAAATAAATCATTTCCAATTTTTGACTAAAAGAAGTCTTGCTTCTAAACCAACAAATTCTTCTTACAGGGCTAAAAATGGTTGAACCTTGCAACCTAAAGGTAACAGTAAAATTTATTAGCACAAGCCACACTAGCGTAAACTCACACATCCCCCCCCCCCCTCTGTGTGGCCAGAAACTTGAAGTACTAGTAAGACCATAGTTTGCAATAGCTAAATTCTATTTCACTCCTGGAAAATTGGAGAGCATGGAAAAAACTTAAAAAGTTAAAATCTCAGATGCTGATTATAATTGAAAAAAGTACTCCAGGATATCAAGCCATAAAGATGATAACACCTTGCTATTTAAATTTACCTGATGATTTGTTCCTTTCATCTAGTGGAAAATTGATATTTTCATTGGACTGCTTGCTTTAGTGCATCTCAATTCAGTTTTTAAGGTAGGAGTGTCATCAGCATCATTTTTTTTTATCAATGTGTCGTCAGCATCATTACTAACTCTAAGTGGTCCATTTTTATTGAGGTCATGCCCTCCTTGGAAACTTCCATTAGTGCTTGGCATCCTCCTTAAGGTTTGGCCAAATTTTTTTAATGGTTCATTTTTCTTTTTACTTCCTTTTATTTATTAGGCAATCAGGGCCTGTTAGTCAAAGATGGCTTTTGGAGGGATGAAGATGGTAAATCATTGATGACCTATGGACTTAATTGACAGTGTTAGCCTAGTAGAAAGAACTTCTCACCTTAAAGGTCTGGAGATTTAAACACTTCTTCTCTATATAATCATTTAGGCTGTATTTGGTTTGAAAGAAAAGGTAGAGAAAGGAAGGGGTACAGGTAGCGAAACCAAGCACAGCATTAAGGCAACTCAATAAAGATAACATGATGGACTAGAAGAGGCAAATGCCTGTGTAGACCTTGTGTTGTGCCATGAAATCCTTGATCTGATTCCCTGTTGAATGCCAGTGAAGAGCAGGGGCTGTTTGACAACAGCTGAAATAGCTGAACTGAATGACTTATTGCTTTATCTTTTAGTGGATAAAGCAATTAAATAATAAAATATTCGAGGGTATGGCAATCAACCCAACCTACTTTTAAGTTTGTCAATCAATTAATGATTTCACAGAATTTCTTCCTAAGGGTGAGTGCTTAGGGGATTATTTCCTGTGGATCTCTGTTACATTGAACTCTCTATTTTTCCTTGCCTTAACCCTTCCTAAAGAATTTGAACCTTTTTATCTCCTACTAATATCAAAGAGCATAGAAGAAAATTACTTCTAAGGGGGAAGAATGAAAACCAGGCAATTGTTCTGCACATAGAATCAAGAAACCATCAAATTATGTTACCCAGATATGATAAGGACACAGGTCAACGATGTTCCAAATACAAAATTGACACAAAAAAAAAATTAAACATCCAACTTCATAAATCCCAAGTATCTGTATATCATAATACCAAAACTAATCACTGTCTTCATATATTATAAGAGAAAATAACGGAGAGGAACAAACCTCCACAGTTCGAAGTTCATTGAGAAGGGATTCTGATGGTGTTGTAATTGTTTGAAAAATATGGGAGCGCTGATGCATGAAAACAATAAGTTATTATCAAGCCCAAATCAAGGCATAAGTCTTAAAACGATAACACAAAGGGGAAACGGCTAACTGTTTATAATATAAAACAGTGACTCACATAGCTATCAACAAGTTTCTGCAGTTCAAACTGAACTTTTCCCAGCATTAACAGAACTCTACCTGGATTAAAAAAAAAAAAGTGTTACAGCACAATCCATTGGATATTATAGAACACTCAAACTACAAAGAAAATGAGGTAATACTCAGCTTCAATGTTAAAGCAATGATTTTGGCATGATTCAAGACAATAACCCACATATTGCTAATAGAGAGAAACCAACTTCATTTTAGGAAAACAAAAACTTAAGAGAGAGAGAGAGAGAGAGCCACAGATTTGTTGAAAATCATGAAAAGAAGAAAAAAAGAAATATCAAGCTTCCTTCATGATGTCATGATTCAGAATGCACATAGATGTAAAAGATGAAATAAAATGAGCTACAAAACAGGAAAAAAATATTAGCCCCCATCCTTTTTTTTGTGGGGGGGAGGATCAGAAATGGTCAAAAATTTTATTATTAAAAATACATAATATACAGATTACAAGAGAAAGGTTGTAGACCACCATTTGTTATCTACCCTAAGGTGATTTTTATACAGGCTTCCCTTGAAACCAACCCCAATACATTTCAGATCTATTTACCCCTTGCCTTGCTAATCTATCAGCTATACTATTAGTGCTTCTAGTAACCCACTGAAATCTGACATCTAATTCTTCCACTAAAGAATTGATTATCCTTAATGTACATCTGTTCTTCCAAGTTGCTTGTGCTTTATTCCTTAGCCATCCCACCATTACCTTTGAATATCCTTCCACAATGATCCCTTTGTAGCTTAACTCTTTCCCTAACTTCAGACTGTGTATCACTGCCAATAGTTTTGCCCTAATTGAGTCTCCTTACACTATTGCTGTGCATGGTTTTGCCATATTGACCATGTAATGCTTTTCATGGATTCCCCTCTTTTGCTAACACTAATACACTAATACCTAACTGTCATCAGGCTCTTTCTATCTCTTTCTCAACTGTTCATATCATCTATATTCATTTCTTTATTGTTATCCTTGTTGTGATTAATAAAACCCTTCGATTCTGTTGCTAATCAGAGAGGAAAAAAGACATTAAGATTTAAGCAATACAATAATTCTTAAAACTAGCAAGTTTGATTTGCTAAAACAATACAATAGACTTTACCTGAAGATCAAACTAGCACACAATTGCAACAAAGTAAGAGTAGGATGGTTCTTTATTTGCTGATAATTTAATGTCCAGAATGCTGAACATGAAATTTCCCCAACTGAAAACATATTATAAAAAGCCAGACAATACTTGAATACTATAAATAATGATACTGTCTACCTGAGCCATAAAATAAATAACCAGTGATGTTTGTCTAAATTCATGAGAAATAGGCATTCTCTGGCCTCCCAAAGAAAGACCTCTGGATGTTTTTTATATTTATGAACCAGATATTTGATCAAATATTCATACATAAGTTGTGAGAAAATAAAACCACACAATTACCACTGTCTTCATCATCATTCAATGCCGTTCTTTGAAGCAAACAAGTACCCATTTCCCGCAGTGACTCTGAGAATTCTGAAAGTAAATACAATTGAAATGAGAACATAAATCTCTAAGACAACACCAAATGTAAAGATTATCCACAACAACAGAAATGTGCACGTAAATCACCATGGTCCAGTTTTAGTGTAACTTTAGGAACTTGAATAAGTTCCATTAACCTTGAGGTTTCCATGAATTATTATGGAAGGAAGACACCATAGGACATTACAAGGTCTCATAGGTCAAAATCGAAAAGAAAAGCCCATCAAGACCATTGGAATTCTACAAGTTCCCAGCCTTTCACGGTTAAAAGTAGTTTTTATAGATTTATTTTAGCTGATTTGAGAGGCTTGTTTAGATAATGATTGGTCTTGGAGAAAGTTGAAACCTCCTTTTCTAAGAGAAAGTTGAAGTTTTTTTTTTTCTTTTCTCCTGGTTGGTAGAATTTGAAGTTAATTCTGAAGAAAGCATGTACGAGTCCCTGCTCAATGAGAAACTGAACAGGGATCAAACACCCAGATTTTGTATACTCATTACACAATTTACACTATGCCTAGGTACAAAAAGATTATACTAATTGGCTTAACGTGTAATAGGCTCCATTTACACAGCTCACAAGTTTTTTTATTCCCATGACTAATAGATCTATTACACCTATTAAAACAGTAACAACTAAGAACCTATATTTGGCAATCAAAGCATAAATTTGATAGAAAGTAATTTACAGAGTCATATGTGATAGCTAAAAATACCCTAAAAAGATGCTTATAGAGTTATAGGCAAGATATTATGTACCATATGCACTATTTGCTGTTGCAGCAGCTGCTGAAAGTAAGCTATCATAGCAATTTCTCATGTCTTGCATGTCCTACAAACACAACCAAATCAAACAAAGAAATTGAACAAGATTCCTAAAGAAGGCCAAAGACCGATGAGCAAGGTTAAATGGAGAGAAACATATAAATCAGGTTTCCCATTGTCTTAGATCTTTATATCTCATACAATATTATTATCTCTATATCACCATATGCCATCTCATAACTGCTACTATCAGTGAACTTCAAACAATAGCAAAATACAATTGGGTACTGTCTTTTCATATTTCCTTTCTTTTTTAATGAAATATTTGTCAACAGCACTATTAAAGGATTATTAATAAGGTGAAAAGGTGAGGACTCCCACACATCATTTGGTGAGGCTGTACAACAGCTGATATCTGACAATGCAATACAAGAGCTTGCAAGGAGATCCTGCAATTATCTTTTTTTTTTTCGAAAAGGTAAGGTAAAATTGTATTGATATTATCAAAAAGTGTAGAAGTATGAAAGTTCACTGTACATCTGAACACCTTTAAGGCCTCCCAAAAAAGTCAACAGCCAAAAAAGAACTAGACAAAGGATTGCCCTTGAAATGCACGTTAATACTCAGCAGCCTCTAAGGTTACTGATGATTTGATTGATCAGCTCTTCTACTTGGATTTGCTTTTGATCAAAGATCCTCCTATTCATTTCATTCCAAATAGCCCAAATAATAGCCAAGGACATAGCCAACCAGAGAATCTGCAATATTAACCCCAGACTTGGTATCCCCAAACTAAACCAAACCTATCTAACTCTTCCCTATCAAAAAATCATCTAGCCTATTTGCTTATGTAGAGTCAACCTGAACAAGCTGTTCAATCTCAAGGAGAATGCCTTAACTTCTTTGACAAAATTTCTAAGGGATCAAGGACCACCTGTTCTTGTACGTGTCCAGCCAATTATAACTTGATAGTCTCCTTCCACAATCATTCATTCTGACCTGAAGAAGAGGCCAATTTTAGTCCTTGAAGGAGGGCAAGAAGCACAGGTCTAAGAGAGGTTCCTTCACCAGCAGGACGCAAATAGCAAGGATCATGGGATCACATTGTCCAAATGATCTCTAAACACACATCCAAACCCAAAAGGCTTGGATATCCAAGGGAACAGCCATAAAATTGAAACTTAATTCTTCCCACGTCTGACGTCTCCAAACTGAGGAACTGTGAATCAGTAGTCCTTTTTGAGGAGCAAATCCAGCAACTATATCCATAATCTCAAAATGGAACCTATCAACACCCTGCTTGAATTCTTCTTTAGTACGCACCAAATGAGATAGTCTTTCCATAATAAGATCAGTGAGGACATTTTGCTCCCAGTCATTGAAGATTCTTGAATTACTCTCATTCCATATTGTCCACAGCACCACTTCCCTTGTACATCTCCACATGATCTTTTATAACTAATCATAAACGGAATGTGTTTTTTAACAATGGAAACAAACATAATAGATTTATAAAAACTGATTAAAATAGATTTCTAATATCTGATCATCTGTGCCCAATACTTTCATTTCCCACACCAATGTAATATATATGATTTAAACTTCAAACCATCTTTTGTTCTTTCTGATTTTCTAAATTTTTTAATTATCAAAAAAGTTCTCTGATTAATCACCAGGATATAAATAGACATTCAAATTACACTTCCATAATATTTTCCTTATGCAGTGTTCAGTTTTTTCATTGTTATGCTATGTTCAGTTTGAAGGTGGAATTAATACGAGAGGCAGGCTTCTATGGTTGTCCTCTCCCCTTGTAATCTGGCTGGGTGTTGTGGGGGGAGAGGAACAACCGCATTTTCAAAGGCAAAGCGTTACAGGTGGAGGCTGTGATAAGCAAAGAATAGAGATTACTAGTAAATTGGGCTTCTCTAAAGGAGTTCAGTGGTCTCCCATTTCAGAATTTATGGTAATCAGTGGGGTCAAATTATTGGTCAAATCCCAGCTGATTTTTGTCAAAAAATAAAAAATAAAATTGTATATGCTATATATAGCACACACTGGTGCCACTTTTGTAACCTCTGGAAAAACCCTCCTTTCAGTAATACAATCGTTACGATTACCTTTCAAAAAGAAAATTGATATGTTCTGTTTGAATACAAATTACATTTGAGAAGTGGTTCCTTAGGTTCATATTCCTGCCTTGGCGGGTTCTCCCCCTATGCACCAATTGTTCTTTTATTTATTTATTTTATATGGTCAGATTTAATATATGACTTGTTGATTGGCATTAATGACTAGTTACAGGACAGTTTATTTCTTGTGCATCAACAAATCCATTCTGAAGCCCCTAAGCTACCATTACTTCCTACTTCCAACGTTAGGACTTCCAGAAAGGTAAGTAATAGGAGCAGCATACAGAACCTGTTGAATGTAAACTTTTAACCCAAGGTGTGACCAAATATTATCAAGTCCCCACTGTAGGTTTCACAACGAGACCAGACGGGGCAGTGAATGGCATATCTGGCATTTTCTTTATTTGTAACAAAACTATACTCAGACACCATTTTATATTTGTCCATGTTTGAGAAAGAGTAATAGCATATGGTGTGAGAGAAGCCTTTGGTCAAGAAACAACCAGCTATCAAAGGGATGACTGGAGAAGAAAATCCACTCGGCTCAAAAGATAAAACAACCCGGTAAGCACAAAGCTAACCAAGAGAAGCATGTAAACACAATTGGACAGGCATAATCCAATCTAGCCATGCCTCATGAGCTTGACTGCAATCAAAAACCTTATAGAGCAATTGCAGAGGATCCAAGTGTATCGCTAGTTATTTGCACAGTTCTTCCGGTGATCCCTCAGTCAATTAGATAGTACCGCATACAGTGCTCACAAGAACACAAACTAGTTAATTAACGAGTTCGCTTGATAGGTAGGAAGGAAAAAGTTAAAAAGTTAACCCATAGAAATGGGAAGCTAAAACCAAAAGACTAAAGTCTTCGCGCTTCAAAGTTTAGTGCGTAGAGCAATTTGGTAATTGTAATGATTAAGGCTGAATTATGCTCCGTTAGACCCTAAAATTATGAAGTGTTCCTGTGTATCAATGCTCACCAGACAGAAAAAAGGAAAGTAGAGGAGTGCCCCGAAGAAAAATAATCAAGAGAGAGGGTGGGGAGAGAACCTGTGACGCCTGAGCGAGCTCATCCAGCTGTGCCGAAGGTTGATTATCTCTTTTTCCCCTGGCATCATTCTTGTTTAGTGCAAATCCTCGCAGTTTCCTAAGAGAAGACTTCATTGCTTCTGTGCAGCCCCAACGAAACCCAAGACAAGGAAGATTGTGACCGAGGAAAACAGTAAGCGAACCAGAGAGAGAGAGAGCGCTCTTATGCGAATGGAAAGGTTAGACAAAACACAACTCAAAATTGGCGAGGAAATCCTGAAACCGAGTTGATTCCGGTAACTCCATTGGAGTTTTTTTTTTTTTTGGGGGGGGGAGGGGGGGTCAACGGAGAAAGAAAGTCTTATTACGAGTGAGGAAAGAAAAAGAAAAGGAAAATTTCTTGAAATGGAGAGAGCAGAATTGCCTGCTTCTACGTTTCTTCCTTGCTTGTCTACACTAATATTTGTCAAATCGTATTACGTACGCTTTTATAGAATGTGGAAAGCGGAAACAACGTCCCTTTTGAGTTTTCAGTTTTGGAGTTTTGATTAATAATGGAGGGCATTTGTACTACGTATTACCATTACCATTGTATTGTCACCGAACTTAAAACTCGCAACTCGCAAGCAATCATGGTTCGTTTCTTTTAAAGCCACGAACTGATGTCCGACCGGAATTCATTCTTATCGAATGTCGATGTCATCGGAGATCAAATGATCAATATCATATTCATAGTTACTGCCACCCACCACGCACGGCATACCTACCATACGGCGAGGCATAGAAAAGCAGAGAGAATCATAAGCCGCTATGTATTCGTGGCTCGTGCAAATCAGGATCTGTTAGCTGAGAGTACATTCAGTTACAATACTGCCTTAACCACGCCATCTAAATTTGGCCCAGATTTTTCTCTCCTCTGTCAAATAAACCAACAACAACAACAAAAAGGGGTTTTTACCGTTCAGTGACAATCCACCCTTACGTAGAGCTAGGATTTCTAGGGATAGATTGAAATCTTGCCCATGGATTAATATCAGATTCATGGACAAGATACTATTTATAGAGGGACTACAATTCAAATTTGTGAGGAGGATTACAGTCCAAATAAAAAAGAAAACGGAAAAACACGGATAAACCCATTGCAGGACATAATAAGATGGTCCGTATCCTTCCCACCTTCCTATCCTATCAAGAATAAATTAATAATAGATTAGTGAAAATCGGTATTAGAGACCACGTAGCACGTGGGTTTTTGCCCAACAACTTCTGGACTGGCCGTGTCTTTTCAAATAATCTCTCCATCCAGTTCCAGTTCCAGTTCCAGGTCCAACCCCAAGAAAGATGAACACAAGTTAGACATATAGTATCGAAAAAACTTTTGACCAATCAAAACCCACTCATGAAATTTGATAAATAGCACACGATTGCCTACCGCATTTATAATTCTAATTGATTGGTCAGATATTTTCGGAATATAATTTTTCCATATCATAGAATGTCTGATTGGGGCAGCGGCGGAAGCCTCGCAGTTCATGACATGTGCAGCCACAGCCAGATGAGTGAAAACTTTGAAGATTAATCTAACAGCCCAGGTGTTTTACCGACTATTGCCCATTTAATCTAATAACTCTTTTGGCAAACTCATTTTATAAAAGCGAATATGAATCCAAAGGCAACGTAGATATTCTGCTCTCATTTCTTTGTGACTTACATGCCTTGTGGCTTTGAAAACCAAACTGAGTCAAGCTGCAATAAATCTAAACCAAACGGGCTACCAGTTTCGCGACCAGGTAAAATCCATCACATAGACGGTGCTTCGTAAGTTTTCCCTAGTCTTGATTCTTTCTTTTTAAGTTACCACTGGAGTCCGGACCCACTGCAACAATTTCCTCCCCATCGATCATCCCAAAGAAATACAAGATAGGATGGGCATATGCAAATTGCAAAGGATTCCTACATGCAATTAACCCGCTAAGTTGAGATAAAATGCCACCACCATTTACAGAGTTACATGAGTATCATTAAGCATTTTTACAAAACAGAGGGGCAAAGCAGGTGAAAGTGGTCATTTCATCTTAGAAATCTTCACCTCGTTCTACTCTCAGGTAAATGAGCAATTCCGCCACAAACCCCAGAAAAGGAAAAAAAAAAACATTGTTTCCCATAGCTAGTGAAGATTTCCACAACTCTCAACCGATGTGGACTTCTGGACACAAAATAGTCATGAACACAATCTCCTAGCAAAGTACAATAAGAAAAGTAAATAACGAAAGAAGACCAGTTATCTGCACTTAAGCAGTTGCGGCCATGGGAGCTGATCTATAGCATGCCCTTTTTGCTGCACGAACAATATCCTCAACCTGTAAAACCCATCAAACAATAAGCAAAGACAGAATCTGATTAGATTTTCAGATAAAATGAACTTGCTTTAATGATAAACTTCTTACAGAAAGAGTTGTTTTGTTGTGGAAGATGAGGCCTGCTAGGACAAATGTACAATGGATGTTACTTGCCATAAAGTTTCATTTTATATAAGGTTCATCAGACACCTCTGTAGGCTGGATTTTGCAGGGTGCACGCAAGAATGCTACACCCACAATGTATTGCATCTCAATTTGGAGATTCCTAAAAACCAACAACTACCTATTTGGAATATTGTGATCATCCAAAAGCGTGTGCTTTCCTAATTTCCTTATTGCTACTTATATTTTCTATGAATGTCTAAATAAATTCAAGTGTTACAATCATTCCATCTAGGTCGATTCAATGAGTTTCTAGGATAATGACATATAGGCTCTTTAACATGTAGTAAGCATAAAGAGGAAGCAATTAGAAGCCACAGTTTCTATCCAAAGAAGTTTACACAGATTCCTTTCCCCAAGATAAGTTACTTGGCATAGAATTCCAAGTTCACCAAAGCATGCCTGAGAGCACAGGAACTCTTGAGTAGACCAAACAAAAGAGAAGAAAAAACCAACCTGTGGGACAGCCATTCTTTCCAGATTTGCAGCATATGGCATGGGAACATCAGCTCCTGCAATCCTCTCTACTGGTGCATCTAGATAGCCAAAACTCTCCTCAATGACAGATGCACTGTTGGAAGAACCATACCTCAATAAATAAATATATGTATATATGAACCTTCCTATTTTGTATAAGTATAAACATGGATTGCAGGGAAAAGAAAGTAAACCAGATCTCAGCTCCAACACCATGTTGAGGGAAACCTTCTTCTACTGTTACCAGTCTGTTCGTTTTCCGCACAGAAGCATTAATTGTAGATCTATCTAGTGGCCTGATAGAGCGCAGATTTATAACCTGTACAAACAAATAAAATGTTACTATATTCATAGCCTGAAGTTGAAGCTTTTTCCAAGCTTGCTCCTTGATGACCCATGACCCAAGAGAGACCAGAAGTAAATTTTCATATCCCAATTATGATCTTACCTCAGCACTGATCCCTTCTTTTGCAAGTATATCAGCAGCCTGGGTTTCATCATCTTAAATTAGAGATAATATAAACAGATCTTACGAAAATTCAAGACATCCATTAAAAGTAGCTTTCAGTACTTGGATCTCTAAATGCCAGGATCAACATTAAAACATACAAGAAGTTGATTTTATTGTCAAATTAAATGTAACAAATAAAATTTTAAACTTGGGACGATGAACGTCAAGAAGTTTCACATTCAAAAAAAACCATCAAAAAGACAAATTGAAATTGGTTCCCTTATAAAGCCTATAATGCTCAAAAAACATATGCCCCAGGAACCATCAAAACCACTGGCATCAGACATCTTACATATATAATAAATGTGCAGATTATCTTGTGGCCTTCTTTTCTTTTGGTCAGTCTCCATGCATGTTGCTTATGCAGAAAGGAACCTTAACAGTACCTCTTATTAGAGGATTTTTGCAGAGGGGATCTACTTGCAACTGTGTCAAAAAGTTCATGGGAGGTGATTGCAATTACCAAACTTCAGGGGAGGTTTCAGCAATTTACCCTAAATTTTAATTACTAAACTAATTATTCTTATTATTTTTTTTATTTCTATAATCTTTTTTGAGACTAGAAATCATTTTTTATATAAATGTGGGTTTAATAGATTAATTCATTTCATTAATATTTGTAAAATACTAATTTTATTCTTTTTAATTTTTAGTTAAACATAATTATATATTTGGTGCTAAGCTATGTTTCCCAGCTGATGTTAGGGAACTCATAGAGGCTTGGTAGCTGGGAGGTCTAAGTAAAGCTGGAAAGGTGGCATGGAGCATTATTCCCGCAGCTGTTCCGTGGGCTGTGTGGAGTGAAAGAAACAACAGATTATTTGAAGGAACTCAAAACTCAAAAGAAGATGTTCTGAGGAAAATTCTGGGGATGATCTACTCATGGATGGCAATACATCCGATGTTTAAAGGCAGATATCCAAGTATCTTTTTTGAGTTTAATTTTTTATTTGTAAGGAGTGGATAGTTTTGTTTTTTTTTTTTTGTTTGGGGATTGAGGTTGTAATGGGCTGATTTGGGTTTTTTGTATATCCTCTGTTCATTTCTCTTTGTACAGGAGTTTACGTAGTTGATTTTGTAATGAATCACTTCACTTTACGTAGTTGATTTTCTTTTCTTTTGAAGGCTTAAGTTGTATTTGGAAGGTAAGACTGTTTGTCTTCCTCTTTGTAATTATTTTAATGATGAGTTAACGAATTTCTTATTGATAAAAAAAAAATGTGCCTGAATTGGTTAAGAATAGCAGTACAAGTATGAATACATTGCAGTCTGTTGGGGCATTCGGAGAGAAAGGAACAGATGTATCATTGAGGACAAATACAAAAATAGAAGAAACATAGCAGCAGAATTTTGTTGGAAGATTAGATTCTACCTCTCAGGGTTCAAAGAATTGAGCAGGGAAAACCTTGAACATAATATTTAGCCATCTTTAGAAATTTCTAATGGGATTTTAGATTCATAAATCAAGGAATGTACATTAGGTTTTCTTTCTGCTTTGGATGCATCACTCTGGGCGAAATCTCTTCTTGAATCTGTAATCCTTGTTATTTCTCTAGTAAATATTTCTGTTTTACCATCAAGAGAAGCACATTTAACTTTTCTATTAGATAGATAATGAGTTGGACTACCTTAAAATTAATTCCAATTCAACCATGTCTAAACAAAGTTTCAAGTAAAAGGGCCAAGGGAAAACACTTTATACTTTTAACCAAAAAAGATAAATCCAAGTTATTACTGTATTGCATATGCATACAATACACGTAGAAGAAGAATGACACACGAACCTGGAGTGAATAACCAACCATCTTTGAGAAAGCAGTAATAGTCACATCCTTTCCTTCCTGTTCGATCTACCACAGTAGATAATAGACAAAACAACATAAGAACAATTACTATAATGATATGCTATAGATATAGAGTGCAAAAAAGTAAGGGCACCCAAAGAAAACATACCTTAGCCTTTCCTATTGGCAGACAAAAACTGGAATCAAGAGCTTCTGCAGAAACAGGAAAAGATTCACCATATCTGGAGCACAACATTCCCATTAAAATTACAATTATAATGAATTCTAAATACAAGCACCAATGTATCACACAATAAAATCAGTGTGTCAAACTACTCACAGTAACTCATTTTCAAGGAAAACAACAGGATCAGGGTCCCTGATAGCAGCTTTTAGCAGGCCACGAGCATCCCCTGATGAGTATGGAGCCAAAACTTTTAACCCAGGACAGGAACCATACCATGCTGCATAACACTACATGCAATCCAGAAGTGTAATTCAGTTAATCTAGTTCTTAGTGATGTAATAACCCAAAACCAAAAACAAGATCATCAGGAGACTCATATATTTTCAATTTTTGAAGTTCTGGGAAACCCTTGACCACAAAGCTTGCTCTCCCATCCAGTGGCGGAGCCAGGAATTTTATCTTGGGGGGGGGGGGGAGAAATGAGGGAGAATGGAGTGGGGCTAGGTGAAATTTTCTACAGTGTACCTATCTAATGTATTCTCCATCTACCAATCAAAAAGTTCGGTTTGAAGTTTCTCTTTAAAAAATATGAACCCTATTTAACTTCAGGCTGCGCTAAGATTGAGGCATTGTCCAATCCAATCCTACAATATTAAGTAAATAAGTCTTTCCAATTCAAGCCCAACCCCTGAAAATCCAATTCAAGCAAACTGGATTGACACAGGAAAAAAAAAATGGATTATGTTAAAGTTAGAATTGGGGTTTCAAGAAATCAAATTGGGTCAGGATTGAGAAAATAAATATTGATGCGACTCCGCCCCAGTCGGTAACATTTTCTCTGAAAAGTTTGGGGGGCCAAGTATTAGCCCAACCTGGTTGTGGATATAGGAGATGGGATACCCCTATTTATGGGTATAGGGATGGGAAAAGACCCCCTACCCAGTAACTTGGCTCTGCTCCTGCTCCCATCTAACATCAATACATAAGAAGCAGAGGTTGTCGAATGAAGTGAAAGGTAGTAGTTGGAGAATATTGTACACTCATCCTTCATATATATATATATATAATAAACAGGTTGTGTCATATCAGCATGCATGTCCTTTCAGGAAAACTATTTATTTATTTTCTCCTTTTTTGCATTTTTCCTATTTTCTTTTGCTTTAAAAGTATTACAAAATGAATCATTGTCAATTTTGATTGAAGAAATTATATCATGTCATCAATAAAGCTGTTGGTACACTTTATCAAGATTAAGTAGATACACATTTAAGAGAGTGTTAATGAGAGACAGATATTACATTATTAGAGAGAAAGAGAGACGTTTGAGACATTTGGGTTTTCCAAGGCACCTCAATATGTTATTATACATTTAAGAGAGAGAGAGAGAGAGAATAGTTAATACAACACAATACAAAAAAAATATTAATAAATCAAATAATCTAAATAGGTTGAGGTTAAACAATAAAACATAAAACAGCACTAATAAAAATATTATTCCAAAAAAAATTAAAATCCACTAAATTTCCACTTCGAAATAATAACTGTTAGTAAAAATTAACACATTAATCTTATAATAACTAATAAAAATTAAAAAAATTGGTTTCCATAAAAACATTTCATTTCACTTAAAAATCAAACTTAATAAACACTTATAAGAATAAGAAACGTAAAAACAATAAAAATATTAATTGATAGTTTTAATAATATTATAATTTAAAATCCAGCGGGCATAATAAACATGGGTTTGATATATTGCACATAGAACCCATGTTCTAATGTCCTATTATGTTTTGTTTATTCTTTTCATTTTATTAGATAACTTTGTATTAATGCATTTTAAATTAATTAATATTATTGTTAAAATTAATATTTTTTATGAGTTGGGACCTTTATTGTGCATAGTGCACATACTACATAAGAGACTTATATAAACAGAGGACCCATTAAAAATGATATAAAAATAAAAATTAGGGCTTGTTTGGTTCACAGGAATAGGGGTCTGGAATCGGAATCAGAATGAGCCATTCCAATTCCAACCAGTTGGTTGGGCTGCTTGGGCAGAATCAGAATCCCATTCTTATTCCGGGTGGAATGGCATTCCCCCATTTGAAGGTCATTCCCTCCCCCTCTAGGAATGAAATCCCATTCCAGCTAATTCCAATTCCCATTTTGATTCCTATCTGAACCAAACAGACTATGGAAATAGACCATTCTGATTCCGATTCCAACTACGAACCAAACGGAACCTTAATGAAAATTTGTTAATTTTTAAAATCCTTTTAGATTCCATTAAAAAAACCCTGGGTTGGTCTTGGACCAGCTCAGCCCAAATGGGAATATGTTAAGGCTACTTGCAATTGTTGTGACCCAATTTCAAATTACCCACATATAGCATGAGACGGGGTGTCAGGGCATGTGTATGTGACATGTACAATACAATGTAGTTACAACAAAAGGAACTAGCCAACTAGGGGTGCAACTTGGGCAAGCCTAACCCGAGCTTGAACTGAACCCACCCGTGTTTTTGCATGGGTTTGGCTTTGATTTTTGGTCTTCAAGCTAGGCCTGGGCAAAAAAAAAACAAGTTTATATTTTTGGTGTTGGGCTTGGCACTAGCCTCTAGGTGGCTCTAGTTCAGCTTAAACCCAACTTGACCTTTCCAAATCTGAGCCTAGCCAAAGTGCCCAACTATGCACAAGCAACTTTTTAATGACCTTAGCCCAACTTAAACTTAACATGCATGGCTGCATGCATGACAGATATAAAATTCCTATTTAAAACTTTAAATTAGTGATGATAAATAAGCCCATGCAACTTTTTAGTGCATTGAACCTAATAAGCCCACTTGAGCCCAAATGACAAGCCTAAAGTGGTATTCGCCTATCATATAAGATACCAAATGCACCCTTCTATTTGCCCATCCTGCTCTAATTCTATACACAACATCCTCTTCAATCTTTCCTTTGTTAGAATTCTTAATTATGTTTAAAAAAAAAATAGCATATATACAAGTGCCAAGCACTCCCAATTTCATCTAGCAGAAACCAGCTGTCTTGCTCTCTATTAGACCTTATGTTTCATCTAGCATATATACAAATCCATTAACAGAACAGCCTGAAGGCTGTGTTTGTTTGGGATATAAACACCAAACCGGGGTATTTATGTACCCTGATTCAGATTTGTGAGCATTTTGTTTGACATGAAAAAATGCAATGATTAAGAGGTCAAAAATGTGTTTTCTGACATTTTTGTATCCTAAGGAGAAGGCATTATTGTGCCCATTTTTTGGATACATTTTTGTACTCTTCTAATAATTGGTGCGTTTGACCAAAAGTTTAAGGCATTTCATGGTGGGGCCCATGCTTTGCACCTGTTTCTACTGTTGCTACAGTAGTCCGAACCAGTAAGGAGAAGAAGA